ATGCCCCTGATCTCCATCCAGTGCTGGCATGTACACTGTGATGAATGCTGGCTGCGGACTCTGGGTGCCAAGAAACTGTGCCCACAGTGCAACACCATCACCTCTCCAGGGGATCTCAGGTGCATCTACTTAGGAAGGACAATGCTGCTCCGATCAGCTTGCTGTATTATGGCGACTGGGGCTGGGGGCGGGGGAGAAGAGCCCTGCTAGTCTGCCCTTCTTCTCTTTACTGTGAAGGAGCCTCAAATGCCTAGGTGGACACTTTCCATTGCAACCATTAAACACCTCCTGGCATTTTGATGGTTCCTAATTCTAATACCTTTTTGAAAAAGCTGTTCTTCCAAGTTGTGTCTGTACTTTTATAATAAATTGGTACCTAACCAGCCTGTTTTTTTAAAATGTGTGAATAACTTATCCAGCAAGATGGCTCTGATGCTGAAGTCGAACATGACGCCGTCCCCATAAAAGATAGTAACTTATCGTTTTGCTAAGGACAAGGACACCAGACTGGGTAATAAGGGTTAAGCCTTGGTCAATTTGCCAAGACACTGACAACAACAAGGACCCTTCCCATGTTAGATAGTGTGTACATTTGTACCAGAAGCTCCCACTTTATTTGCCTTGTATTAAGTGTTTGCTTGCAGCAGAAGGGTGGCTTCCTGTTAAAGTTTGCAGTTATAGGGCAGGCCCCCTGTCCATCATCGTTAAGTTTGGTTCCGCCCCCTGTTCAGGACAATTGTGAAGGGAAGGGAGCCATTTTCAGTCAGTCTCAGCAAGGAAAGTCAATGTACAGGACATATACAGACTTCTCCTGTACAAAGGCTTCAACCCTTAAGACTTCCCGGGGGAGACCAGTCTTAAGGATTCCCAAAGATTCCCAGGGAAACAGCTCTAAAGCTCTGAGGAATTTCGGAGGGAAAACCAGCTTTGGACATCTAAGAACTCCAGCTGAAGTGACAACAGGCCTACTGGTAGGTCCACTCGGTGCTTTGAGATGCAGTTCAACCCGGTAGTGGCTCCCACATCAGTTAGGTTTAGGTTCATAGCCTGGGAGAAGTTTAGAAAGGGATTTTCTTTTGGAGTAAAGTAACAGTTAGAAGCCACCAGTAGCACAAAGCCTGGAAGCATTTGTTTAACCTTTTGAAGACAAAGAAGTTTCTGCTGATTGTTCACTAATAAAAGACTTTGTTATATTTCACAAGCCCTCTAAAGACTGTTTATGGTGAAAATCCTTAAGAATTTCTCTTCGGGTCCCCTGGCTTCCTGCTGGGCTAAAGTTTCACGTCCTGTCTTAAAAGCAATTCGTTTCAAGCCCAGCATACGACAGAACAGATAGTGTGTACATTTAATCAAGGTTTTATGCCCTAGGTTTCATATATAGCAGAAGGTAGCACATTTATTACTGAGAAACCACCTCCCTTGACACTTATGCGCTCTCTTGAACTTCTATGGGACTCTGGTGGGAGGGATAAGTGGGTATGTTTTCTATAACATGATTTCTATATTTCTATATTCCTCCCTGTGTATCTGACCTCTTCCTGACCCTTTTGCCCAATCCCCCTTTATTGAAAAGATGTATAAAAATACAAGGCAGTCACTCCTGCATGACCCTGGAAAAAAGGAAATCTGTTGAAAAAGACCCTAATCAAAAGACACTATTTGCATGCACAATAACAAAGCACCGTGACCTCTGGGCTCGGAGTTGGTCCCCCAGAGGAAGCGGTCATTTGGCAATTATGATCATATCTCAATAGGATGGAGGGGGCCTTCGGAAAGCCGCACCTTGTCCTAATCTGTCACCCATTCAACTTTTCTTTCACTAAAGACTTCAGCCAAAATTCCCCATTGTTCCCATATCCGGATTTTTCAGCACTGGAAAAATCCGGATCTTGGCAGGATCGCCAAACATCAATGTTTATTGCAGCCACTCAATGAAAATAGGAATGGCTGGCTCGCAGGCCCCAGGACTCGCTGGCCCCACGGACATTTCCTACCTCCATAATCCTCTCAAGAATCCATTGTTTCCCTCTCGTCCCGCCTCCCTCTCTCCTGATTCGTCAGGACGCCAAGGCGGCAGAAGCCCAGTGATTGGCCCAGGCTCTCAGGAAGTGGCCAAGCCTCCTCCCAGCTGTGGAGCAATAGCCAATCATTGTCGAGCCGGCAGAGGGGCGGGGAATGGGAGATTCAAACCTGGCAGCTCTGTTTCTGTATAAAAAAGGCTTTTATTTGTGAACATGTTATGGCAAAATATTGCTGTTTTGCATCATTTTCAGCTGAATCGTAATAAAATCATCTCGGTGGCGCTTCCTTCAACTTTGGTGAGATTTCTTTTGGGAACTTAGGAAAAACCTTTTAAATCGGGCTTCTCTTTGCTCACCATTGTAGCGAGCCCTCTTTGGTGGGCCCGCAAGATCTCTCCTTCAGGGCCAGACCCTTTTAAATTCCTCCATGATTTCAGTGCCACAAACACTGGGCATCCCCTGGGCAATGTCATTGCAGATGGCAAATTCTCTCACACCAGAAGCGACTTGCAGTTTCTCAAGTCAATCCTGACACCAAAAAAAAAAAAAATGCCATAAACAGGTTTTCCACAATTTAAGTTCTCAAAGCTATCCCATAGTAGAATATTTCACTGGTGGGCAGTGCAAGCTAGCTGTGCTGCTAGCTGTGCTTCTTACTGCCTGGGGGAATCCTTTGTTGAGAGGTGATTAGCTGTCCCTGGTTATTTCTTCTCTGGAGCTCCCTTGTCTTTATTTACTGTGGCTTCTACTGCCCCCAGACAGTAGAAGCCAGACCTTGAAAACAGAAAGGAGGAAACCATGAAAAGGAACACAATGTGGCTACCAGTATTTAAAAAACTCTAAAATTATAGCAGTAAATAAAGAACGACACTCAAACACAGAGGAACTCCAGACAAGAAACAATGAGGGATATTGACGAGAGATATTGACAAGCTGGAATGTGTCCAGAGAAAGAGGGCAACTAAAATGATCAAGGGTCTGGAGAACAAGCCCTATGAGGAGCGGCTTAAGGAGCTGGGCATGTTTAGCCTGAAGAAGAGAAGGCTGAGAGGAGATATGATAGCCATGTATAAATATGTGAGAGGAAGCCACAGGGAGGAGGAGGGAGCAAGCTTGTTTTCTGCTTCCCTGGAGACTAGGACGCAATGGAACAATGGCTTCAAACTACAGAGAGGAGATTCCATCTGAACATGAGGAAGAACTTCCTGACTGTGAGAGCCGTTCAGCAGTGGAACTCTCTGCCCCGGAGTGTGGTGGAGGCTCCTTCTTTGGAAGCTTTTAAACAGAGGCTGGATGGCCATCTGTCAGGGGTGATTTGAATGCAATATTCCTGCTTCTTGGCCGAATGGGGTTGGACTGGATGGCCCAGGAGGTCTCTTCCAACTCTTTGATTCTATGAAAATGAACAAAATCTGGCTACCAGTATTTAAAAAAACTCTAAAATTATAGCAGTAAATAAAGAACAACACTCAAACACAGAGGAACTCCAGACAAGAAACAATCAGGGACAGCTAATCACCTCTCAACAAGGGATTCCCCCAGGCAAGTAAGAAGCCACACCTTGAAACTGCTAGGCCATTAAATTCTAACCAAGGTGGCCACGCGGCCCGGAAAACTTACAGCAACTCTCAACTCAAGAGCGGGAAACGTAATGTTGGTGGGTGGGAAAAGAGATTGGCTTAAAGCCAACCCTAAAAACCGTGGCAGAGACAGCAAGAGAGAGAACTGGGAAGGCCTAGCCTTCGAGAGCTCTTACTGGAGGTCAGCTGTGACCAGCAGTGCTGCAGAATTCGAAGAGGCAAGCATGTTTTTGGGAACGCCTCCTTAAGCTACTATTGGTCGAGACCACTGTCAGTCATACGTGCGAGTCCAAGATTTCTGTTGAATCATTGGGCCGTGCTGGACTTAACTGTTTTCCCATTGGTTAATATAGGTGTCCGTCTTCTAACACTCCCGCCTTTTAGCCTCGGCGTCTCGTCTCATTGGTCAGCGCGAAAATAAGGGCGGGGATTTTGTTGTTTTTCCACAATCTTTTTAGGAAAGCCCTCCAAAGCGGCCATTGGCTGAGGCTGCTGTCAGTCATTTGTGTGGTTCGACGATTTCTTTTCAATCATTGGTCCATGCTGGACTTAATTGGTTTTCCATTGGTTAATATAGACGTCCGTCTTCTAACACTCCCGCCTTTTAGCCTCGGCGTCGCGTCTCATTGGCCAGCGCGTGTGAGGAACGCCCTCCTAAACGACCATTGGCCGAGGCTGCTGTCAGTCATGTGTGCGGTTCGACGATTTCTTTTCAATCATTGGCCCGCGTTGGACTTAATTGTTTTCTTATTGGTTATTGACTAAGGTTGCTGTCAGTCATTCAAGCGGTTCGAAGACTTTTGTTCAATCATTGGTCCGCGCTGGACTTAATTGTGTTCTTATTGGATAATATAGGCGTCCGTCTTCTAACACTCCCGCCTTTTAGCCTCGGCGTCTCGTCTTATTGGCCACTGCGAAAATAAGGGCGGGGAACGACTCCTAAAGCAACCATTGGCCAAGGCTGCTGTCAGTCATATGTGCGGTTCGAAGATTTTTGTTCAATCATTGGGCCGTACTGGACTTAATTGTTTTCCCATTGGTTAATGTACGCGTCCATCTTCTAACACTTCCGCCTTTTAGCCTCGGCGTCTCGTCTCATTGGCCAGCGCGAAAATAAGGGCGGGGATTTTGTTGTTATTTTCCTCAATCCTTTTAGGAACGCCCTCCAAAGCTGCCATTGGCTGAGGTTCCTGTCAGTCATTCGTGCAATTCGAAGCGGTTTGTTCCCATTGGTGGAAAGCGACAGGGAGGAGGGCCCGCTCTTTCTTTGTCTGCCGTTGTTATGGGAGAAGTCAGAAGTCGTGTTCTGATTGGTTCTAAGCTTTAGAAGTCTCGGGCGCCGATTGGCCACAAGCTCCACCGAGGAGGCTCCGATTGGCTGGCTCGCCGCAAAGGGGCGGGGACGACGCCTGGAGCAATGGCGGCGGCCGCGGCGGCCCGGTTGAGGCCTGAGGCGGCCGCCGGAGGGATGCCGGGCGGGATGAGGCCGGGGCGGAGGCGGAGGCTGAGGAAGCAGCAGGAGGAGGAGCAGGAGGAGGGGAAGGCGGCGGCGCGGGCGTGATGTAGGCGGCGCCATGGAGCAGGAGCCGCAGCCCCGGAGGAACCCGCGGAGGGAGGCCCAGGCCCAGGCCGGGTGGGCCGCCGCCGCCTTGCTAGGCCGGGAGAGGCAGGTAGGCCCAAGAGGGGCATCTGCACTGGAGAACGAAGGCGGGTTGGCAACACTTTGTGAATGCTTCAACACCAGGCCCGGCCCAACTTCGGCCCTCCTTCCAAGTGTTTTGGACTACAACTCCCACAATTCCTAACTGCCTCAGGCCCCGAAGGGGCCTGAGGCTGTTAGGAATTGTGAGAGTTGTAGTCCAAAACACCTGGAAGGAGGGGGCAAGTCGGGCCAAACCTTATTTATTTGTTTACAGTATTTATATTTATTTATTTATTAGATTGATGTAGGTTTTTTCAGGCTATATGGCCGTGTTCTAGAGGCATTCTCTCCTGACGTTTCGCCTGCATCTATGGCAAGCATCCTCAGAGGTAGTGAGGTCTGTTGGAACTAGGAAAATGGGTTTATATATCTGTGGAATGACCAGGGTGGGACAAAGGACTCTTGTCTGTTGGAGCTAAGTGTGAATGTTTCAACTGACCACCTTGATTAGCATTTGATGGCCTGGTAGTTGTTTGGTGTGGCTTGTTAGTGCCTGGGGCAGTCTTTTGTTGAGAGGTGATTAGATGTCCCTGATTGTTTCCTCTCTGTTGTTTTGCTGTTGTAAGTTCCTTGTCTGTATTTGCGAGTTCTTTGCGGATGAAAACTGGGTTGTGGCCCCATCTCTTAAGATTGGCTCTGCATCTCGTGGTGCCAGAGCGCAGTCTGTTCAGCGCCTTCCAAGTCGCCCAGTCTTCTGTGTGCCCAGGGGGGAGTCTCTCATTTGGTATCAGCCATTGGTTGAGGTTCTGGGTTTGAGCCTGCCACTTTTGGACTCTTGCTTGCTGAGGTGTTTCAGCGAGTGTCTCTGTAGATCTTAGAAAACTATGTCGTTGACGTGCTGGCTGATACCCAAACAGTGGATGAGCTGGAGATGTCTCTGCCTTGGTCCTTTCACTATTGGCTGCTCCTTCCCGGCGGATGTCAGGTGGTGCAATACCGGCTAAGCAGTGCAACTTGACAGATGCAACTGTCTTTCGGGTTGCAAAGATCGACAACAGGCTACACAATGGCTGGACACCCACTCCAACCCGGGCTGGCTTCGAACTCATGACCATTTGGTCTAAGTGATCTTAATGCAGCTGACACTCAGCCAGCTGCGCCACAATCCCAGTGCCTCTTGAAATTCAGAAACATGTGGACAATTTCAACAGAAAGGAGGTAACCACGAAAATGACCAAAATCTGGCTACCTGTATTTAAAAACTCTAAAATCACAACAACAGAGAGGAAACAATCAGGGACAGCTAATCACCTCTCAACAAAAGATTGCCCCAGGCACTCCCAGGCGGTCAAGGGGGTCAGTTGAAACATTCACACCTAGCTCCAGCAGACAAGAGTCCTTTGTCTCACCCTGGACATCATTCCACAGATATATAAACGCTGCCAGGCTATTATATGCTAACCAAGGTGGTCAGTGAAACATTCACACCTAGCTCCAGCAGACAAGAGTTCTTTGTCCCACCCTGGTCATGCCACAGATATATAGACCCCTTTTCCTAGTTCCAACAGACCTCACTACCTCTGAGGATGCTTGCCACAGGTGTAGGCGAAACGTCAGGAGAGAATGCCTCTAGAACATGGCCATATAGCCCGAAAAAACCTACAACAACCCAGTGATTCTGGCCATGAAAGCCTTCGACAATATCTCCTGTTGTTCTTTTCCAGTATTATGGAAATAAGTAAATTAAAATGTTTGTTCTTAGCACAAATATTTAATCTAGATGATGCTTATGTTTATTTATATCCCACTAGTGATAGATATGAGCTTAACAATGGATGTTACACCCTACAAGCACCAGATGCTGCTTGATCTTGGAGGCTAAGCAGGGTCAGGTCTGATTAGTCCTTAAGAGGGAGACCACCAACTCAGAACTAACAAAACCACATCCATTCAGTTCATGTGTTTGCCATAAGTTCAGGCAAAACCCAAGGGCACAGTTGGTGCCTGATAGTGTGGATGTTTTTAAGCAGAGGCTGGATGACCATCTGTCAGGAGGGCTTGGATTGTATGTTTCTGCTTTGCAGAAGGGGGCTGGACAAGATAGCCTTTGGGTTCCCTTCCAAATATATGATTCTGTGATACATATGCACACATTTCCTGTATGGCAGGATGGGGTTGAACTGGGTGGCCCTTTTGGTCTCTTCCATTTTTGTGGTTTTAACTTTGTTTATTGGGGATGTGGGCAATGCTGGCTTTGGATTCCTTTGTCGCAGCTCAGGATAGATTCACCTTGCTCAGAAGAACACCACACTCCAAGGGTGTAGGTTTTGTAGTTTATTGAAGAAAAAGAAAAATCATAAACATGGAAATAAGGTTGCAATAGTTCAACATCAAACCTGGATGTTCGAACAGGCATTTGGTTAATTGGTGCAATGAATGTGATGATTACAGGAATGGTAATATGGACGACGAAACTGGATCACGATTTTAGTCATGAGATGCATTGGGTTGTTATTGTTGTGTCAAGATTGTGTATTATGCTTTTATGGTTTTAAATTGTATATTGTTGACTGTTGTACCTTTGTTGTAAACCGCGTTGAGTCGCCTGTTAGGCTGAGAAACTGCGGTATACAAGTAAAGTAAATAAATAAATAAATAATAGCCAAAACAGAGTCTTAAATGCAAAGGCAGAGCTTCCAAGGTCCAGAGGACAATAACATGAAGTATAATCCACAAGCATGGGTCAAACCAGAATCCATGGCAGCATGACAAAGTCCCCAGAAACCAAGATCAAGTCCCAAAGAGCCAAAGCTTTCCCTAAAAGCCGAGGCAATTCCAGAGAAGTTAACAGGGTGTAAGCAAAGTTGCACTGACAAAGGGTTGATTTCAATCAGATCGTTAAATATGTTTCCCTAGCATGAAAGCATTACGTTGACCTTTTAACTTCCCATGTGTTAGCAAGCCGAGCGCTTCAGCATACCCTTAATTGCAAACGGTCCTCCCTAACCAAATCCCCATCACCTTCAAGGCCGAATAACTCATTATCCTGGGACTGGCCAGCCTGGGAATTGACAAGCACTGAGTCCACAGATGGAGTGGTCGACTCCTCCACCTGCAGCTGTGAAGTATCACTCAAATCATGACCATCTTGTAAAACAACATTCCTTTCTCTGGGAAACAGAAACGCCATCTCGTCTTCAGAATCAACACTGTCTGCATCAACAACAGGGACATGTTCAGAAATCTGTAACCCATCCTCCTCCTCGTCCTGAGGAAACTCAGGCTCAGAAAGCTCAGGCTGAGCCACAATATCCTACCCCAAAGAACTGCAATCAGAAGGGACCTCTGGGGGCCACTTAGGCCCCTTCCACATAGCTGAATAAAATCCCACTTTATCTGCTCTGAACTGGAATATATGGCCGTGTGGACTCAGATAACCCAGTTCCAAGCCAAGATTGTGGGATTTTCTGCCTGGCCCTGAGTCAAGTGCAGCTGAAACACACCTCTGCTGTAAAAGCCCCCTTTCCTTCTCTCTTGCAGGCGCGCGAGTACTGCCCCGGGGTGAACAACCAGCCCTACGTGTGTGAGACAGGCCACTGCTGCGGGGAGACGGGCTGCTGCATCTATTACTATGAACTCTGGTGTGAGTATTGCCAGCTTTGCCGCTGAATTATATAATTATATCAGGATGTTGAAGGAACTGATTTTCAGCCTGTCTCTCTTTCAAGGAAAAGCATAACTTTATTGGCGGGGCGGGGGGGGGGGGACAGAAAACGCAAAGCTACACGGTATTCATATTCTACTTTGTTCATGCCCAGCGTTATTTTTTAATTTTTTATTCTATTACATTTGGCCCGGCCATAGGTTTTTAAATGCATGTGTATTGTTATTTACTGTTGATTGTTCATGTGACTTATATTAATTGTGTTGTATTGATTGTTTTCTTACTGCTTTTGTTATTATGTACTGTGGGCTTGGCCTCATGTAAGCCGCACCGAGTCCCTCGGGGAGATGGTAGCAGGGTATAAATAAAATTATTTATTATTATTATTATTTCAGTTCTTGTGGGTTTTTTCGGGCTATATGGCCATGTTCTAGAGGCATTTCTCCTGACGTTTCGCCTGCATCTATGGCAAGCTTCCTCAGAGGTCTGCTGGAGCTGGGAAAAAGGGGTTTATATATCCAAGTCCATGAGCAGACCTCTAGCTCATGGAAGTCCAAAAGCAAACAGTTATTATTATTATTATTATTATTATTATTATTAAACAGATTATTATTATTATTATTATTATTATTATTATTATTATTATTGTCAGGTCTAAAACATTAGTCCCATTTACACAATTGTATAAAGTAGGGATGGACAAACTTCGGCCCTCCAGGTGTTTCAGGGTTCATGTGGGAGTCCAAAACACCTGAAGGGTCAAAGTTCGACACTGCCTGGTAAAAGGTAAAGGTAAGGGTTTCCCCTGGCATTTAATCTAGTTGTGCCAGACTCTGGAGGGTGGTGCTCAGTTTCTAAGCCAGCATTGTCCGTAGACACCTCCAATGCCATGTGGCCAGCATGACTTCATGGAGTGCCATTATCTTCCCACTTTTTGTCATGTCAGGAGCAACTTGAGAAACTGCAAGTCGCTTCTGGTGTGAGAGTATTGGCCATCTGCAAGGACGTTGCCCAGGGGATGCCTGGATGCACTTTATCAGAGATTTAGGATATTTGCATGCCCACCCTCCTCCAAACAACCCACCTGTCATGCCCAGCACTTTTAATTTTAATTTTAATTATTACATTTGGCCTGGCCATTGTTTTTAACTGCATCACTGCGTGTTGTTAATGTTATTGCTTGTTTTTGTTTTATTTTGCTGTATTATTGTTGTTGTTTATTGTTGTATTTTGGGCTCGGCCTCGTGTAAGCCGCACCGAGTCCTTCGGGAGATGGGAGCGGGGTACAAATAAAGGATTATTATTATTATTATTATTATTATTATTATTATTATTATTATTATGTTTTGATGTTTTATCATCCTTGTGGGAGGCTTCTCTCATGTCCCCGCAGGGTAGATCAATGGTACCTATTGATCTACTCACACGTGCATTTTTTCAAACTGTTAGGTTGGCAGAAGCTGGGCCTAACAGCGGGAGCGCTCCCCAGATTCGAATTGCCGGCTTTTGGTCAGCAAGTTGAGCAGCTCAGCCATTTAACTTGCTGCGCCACACATAGTATTCTCCTATACAGCCATTGGTTCTTCAATCACAACATTGCATCATGGTCCCTCATATTGTCTTCCCTGTGAAAGCAATCTTGATACTATCACTACCTCCTTCCCAAATTCCCAGGTTCAGAGAATACTTTTTGGCTGTCCTCATAACCTAACAGCACTCTTAACTTCCACTTAGTTTATATCTGATAGTATTTATATTTATCGTGTCAGGGGCAGACCAAACATTTGCATTGCATTTTTAAACAAACAAACAAGCAAAATACAAAGTTTGCAAGCTTGGTGGTTGATTAAATGTCCTTTGACCAGTATCTGGCCACTTGGAGTGCCTCTGGTGTTGCTGCAAGGAGGTCCTCCAATGTGCATGTGGCAGGGCTCAGGTTGCATTGCAGCAGGTGGTCAGTGGTTGGCTCTCCTCTGACCACCTGCTACCCAAACAAGTCACCCAGTTTTCTGTGTGCCCATATCTGATAGTGATATGTATTCACTGTCCATTATGTTAGCACTCTATGGTATGTGATAGAACAAATCCTGCCTTTTGATTTTGGGGGGTTTATCAGAACTACAATGGGTGTCCCGACACTGACAAAGCCACCTCTTGAGTCGTCCTTTCCTAGGAAAACCCAGTGAAACTCTTGAAGATGCCATAAGTTGACAGGTGACTTGAAAGCACAAACATTAGATTAGGATATACCTACGATCCAGGCAGAAATATTAAAGGGTTTAGATCAGGGGTCCTCAAACTAAGGCCCGGGGGGCGGATACGGCCATCCAATGCCATTTACCGGCCCTCACTCAGGGTCAACCTAAGTCTGAAACTACTTGAAAGCACACAACAACAACAACAACAACAACAATCCTATCTCAACAGGCAAAAGCAGGCCCACACTTCCCATTGAAATACTAATAAGTTTATATTTGTATTGTATTGTTTTCAAGTGTTTTTTGTACTACGAATAAGATATGCCAGAGTGAAGACAGAGGGGAGCAGGAGACAGTTCCATCTTGTCTTTACTAATAATATAATATAGTATATTGTATATACATATAATATTTATAATATTACAATGTATTACAATATAATACTAGTAATAATTATACAATATTATAATTATATATTTACATTACATGTAACATTGCTAATAATATTACAATATAATGGTATAGTGCAATATAGTAATATATGATACTGATATTGTACTATGCTAATAATATAATATATTGTATGAAAATATATCTTATAAGCCTCTCTGAGTCCCCTTCGGGGTGAGAAGGGCAACATATAAATTCCGCAAATAAATAAATATGTGCAGCGTGCATAGGAATTAAATCATGTTTCTTTAAAATTATAATCCAGCCCTCCAACAGTTTGAGGGACTGTGGCCTGGCCCTCTGTTTAAAAAGTTTGAGGACCCCTGGTTAAGATGATCGCATTCCAGTTTAATGAACCGAGAAGTGAAAAAGATGACCAAATTAGTTACTGTGTAAAAGCACATCAGGGAGTTGGACTGGATGTCCATTGTCATCTCTCCAATTATATAAATTCTGTGATTCTCACTAAAGTAACTTGAAATGAAAAGAAAACCATCATTCTCCAATTATATAAATTCTGTGATTCTCACTAAAGTAACTTGAAATGAAAAGAAAACCATCATTTCATTTCCCTCTCCTCCTCTTCTTCTTCCTCCTCCTCCTCTTCTTCCTCCTCCTCCACTTTCTTCTACTCTGCTCTTCCTTCTACTTTTCCTCCGCCTCCTCTTTCTCCTTTTCCTCCTCCTCCTCTTTCTCCTCTTTCTTCTCCTTTTTCTCCCCCTCCTCCTTTTCCTCTTCCCCTTCCTCCTCCTCTTCTTCCTTCTCCCCTTCCTCCTCTTCCTTCCCCTTCCTCCTTTTCCTCTCCTCTTCTTCCTCCTCTTCCTCTCTCTCTTTCTTCTCCCTCTTCCTCCTCCTCCTCATCTTCTTCCTCCTCCTCCTCTCCTCCTCCTCTTTCCTCCTCCTCTTCTTCTTCTCCTCTTCCTCCTCCTCCTCCTCTTCCTTCTCCTCTTCTCCCTCCTCCTCTTCCTCCTCCTCCTCTTCTCTCCCCCTCCTCCTCCTCTTCTTCTTCCTTCTCCTCTTCTCCTCTTCTTCCTTCTCTCTTCTCCTCCTCTTCCCTCTCCTCTTCTCCTCTCCTCTTCCTCCTCTTTCTTCCTCCTCCTTCTCCTCTCCCTCCTCTTCCTCCTCCTCCTCTTCTTCCTTCTCCTCTTCCTCCCCCTCCTCCTCCTCTTCCTTCTCCTCTTCTCCCTCCTCCTCTTCCTCCTCCTCCTCTTCTTCCTTCCTCTTCCTCCCCCTCCTCTTCTTCTTCCTTCCTCCTCTCTCCTCTTCTCCTTCTCTTTCTCCTCTTCCTCCTCCTCTTCTTCCCTCCTCCTCTTCCTCCTCTCCTCTTCCTCCCCTCTTCTTCCTCCTCTTCTCCTTCTCCCTCCTCTCCTCCTCTTCTTCCTTCTCCTCTTCCTCCCCCCTCTTCTTTCTTCTCTTCTCCTCCTCTTCCTCCTCCTCCTCCTCCTCTTCTTTCTCCTCCTCTTTCTCCTCCTCCTCTTGCTCCACTCCATTCTTCCCTTTGCAGGGTTCTGGCTTCTCTGGACGGTGCTGTTCCTCTTTGGCTGCTGCTGTGCTTACCGACACCGCCGGGCCAAACTGCGCTTGCAGCAGCAGCAGCGGCAGCGGGAGATCAACCTCATCGCCTACCACGGTGCCTGCAACTACCCCCCATCCATGGTGGACCTCAGTGAGTAGAGCGCTTGGGTCACCCCACCTGAGATCTCTCCCATGATTCTGCACAGGAAGGGGCTGAGTCCGAACTAGTCTAGCTGAGGTGGAACTGGTCAGAAGTCTGCTGTGCTGGTGGTGTTAGTGGTTTTTGAGGAGGAGAGGTTCCCTTCAGCTGGATGGCCCTGTATTTCTGTGATTCAAAGCCATGTCCAAGTAGAGAGAACCCAAAGAGGATTTGCACGCTACCTGGGGCTGCTTCCAATTTTTAACCAGGGCTAGCTGCAGAGACCACACAACCCTCCTGTTGCAGCAACTCCACTGGTTGCCAGTCTGTTTCCAGGAACAATTCAAAGTGCTGGTCCTGACCTATAAAATCCTATATCGCCACTCGGAAAATTGTATCTCCCTGTACGAATCTGCCCTAAGCTCTGAGATCCCCTCCTCTCGGTCCCACCATCATTGCAATCAAGGTTCCTGGCGGCTGCTCCTCAAGCCTGGAACTCCCTTCCAAGGGAACCAGAAAAGCTGCCTCCTATTGACTTCTGTGTTTGATTGTAATATTTGTATGCTGTGGCATATAAATTGTATTATATTTGTTGCTTTGAGCCACTTTTGTGTCCTGAGTAAGATATAAAAATAGAATATAAATAAATAGAACAGTACTATTATTATTATAAATGTCCTGGCTGTGAATCCACAACCTCTAAGGGTGAAATGGCAGGAGAGAATGCTTCTGGAAGGGTGGCCAGACAGCCCAGAAAACTCACAACAACCCAGTGCTTCTGGCCATGAAAGCCTTCGACAACACATAGAGCAGTGGTTCTCAACCTTTCTAATGCTGCGACCCCTTAATACAGTTCCTCATGTTGTGGTGACCTCCAACCATAATATTATTCTTGTTGCTACTTCACAACTACAATTTTGCTACTGTTATTAATCATAATATAAATATCTGATATGCAGGATGCATTTTCATTCACTGGACCAAATTTGGCACAAATACGTGATATGCCCTAATCTGAATACTGGTGGAGTTGGCAGGGGATTGATGTTGTCATTTGGGAGTTGTAGTTGCTGGGATTTATAGTTTACCTACAATCAAAGAGCATTAAGAACTCCAACAATGGAATCGAACCAATCTTGCCACACCGAACTCCCTTGACCAACAGAAAATACTGGAAGGGTTTGGTGGGCATTGACCTTGAGGTTTGGAGTTGTAGTTCAACTACATCCAGAGAGCACTATGGACTCACACAATGATGGATCTGGACCAAACTTGCCATGAATACTCAACATGCCCAATGTTGAGTATTCATACCCAACATGCCCACCAAACACTGGTGGAGTTTTGGGAAAATAGACCTTGGCATTTGAGAGTTTTAGTTGTTGGGATTATAGTTCACCTACAATAAAAGATCATTCTAATCCCCACCAATGATAGAATTGGGCCAAACTTCCCACATAGAACCCCTATGACCAACAGAAAATACTATGTTTTTGGATGGTCTTTGGCGACCCCTCTGAAACCCTCTGATGACCCCCCCCAGGGGTCCCGACCCCCAGGTTGAGAACCACTGACATAGAGTAATAATGTCCTGGCTGTGAATTCCAAGGCTTCCTTCCAGGGCACCCTGAGGCTCTTGGTCAGCCAAGGACACAGGTTAGGCGGTTCCTCTGGCCCTTCTGCCTCCTTACTCAACTCCGTCTCCCCTCCTCCTCCTCTGCAGGGATGCTGGCTTCCTTCAAGCTGCCTGCCTACGAGGAGGTGGCCCACCGCCCGACCACCCCTCCGCCCCCCTACAGTGCCATCCTGGGAAGCGCCGCCAGCCGCCGGGGCTCCAGCACCTTGACGCTGACGGGCAGCTCGGAGAACTACACCAGCTGCTCCTGCGAGTCCAGCTGCCTGACCTCCCCCAGCAGCACCTCGCTCTCAGCCACAGAGGCCAGCTCCCCCAGCGAGGCCGAGATAGACGGGGCCGGGGCCTGTGGTGGCGGCAACGCGGTGGGCAGCTGGGAACTGTCCGAAGGGCTGGACGGAACCCCCTCCGCGGCCCCGTCCCCCAGGCACGCCCTCTTCTCCTCCAACGTGGAGCTCTTTGAAGGCGACCCCCCCAGGCGGCCCTCTGACAGCGAGGAAGGTTCGGAGCCCCTGGAGGAAGGGGAGCACTCCCGGCACCGGCGCCTCACGGGGGACTCTGGGATCGAGGTGGGGCGCGGCCAGGAGGACGAAGACGACGAGGAAGACGAGGAGGAGGAGGCCGCCCGCCTGCTTGAGAAGGGGGGCCCTTGCTCTCCCTCCGGCACTGAGGCCCGGAGCCTGTGCGGGCGGGCGGCAGAGGGGGACTCCGAGGAGCTGGCCCGCCCCGCCGGCTCCCCCTCACCAACGCTGCCTGTTTGAGGGGGCCGGTCCTGCTTGGCCCCCGCCTCCAAAACTGTGCCAGGCGGGCCAGCCTCCTCGCCAGCAAGGGCCTGCCTGCCCCCGCTGTGGTTGGTTCACTGTGGAGAACTCCCGCCTTAGCCCCAACCAACACTGCCCTCCTCCGCTGCTGCTCCCACGCTCCCCCGCCCTCTCGCCCTGCCCTGCTTAGACGGTGTGTCGGTCGTGCTCTGTCCTCCCAGCTCTGTGACCAAAGGTCTGCTTCCTCTTCCTCCCCCACAGGCATTGGGGGGCTGCCTTGGGGCCCCACTGTGGACTTGGGGCTGGGGCAGGGGGGTGTGACTTCTGTAGCAGCTGTGTGTGTGTATGTGTGCGTACCTGTGCGTGCGTCTCCATAGCATTTGGTGCGAGCTGTTGCTCTTCCTCCCAAGGGCAGGCGGGCGGGTGGACCCTTCCCCTGAGCATCATCACTGGGCTTGGGCTTGGCTGGCTGCATGACTGAGGAGGGAGCGGGGGGGGGGGGGGTTCCTGCTGCGGAGGCCGGCCTTCTCCTTCTTCCCTCCCGGATCCCCCCTCCGCTGGGCTGGGAGCGGGGAGCTGGCCTTCCCCTTTCGGTCTGCTTGAGGCAGCTTGGGTGGCCCATGCCCTGCCCGTGCCTGGGAGGGAGCCTTGGGAGTGGGTGTGGGACGGGGCAGCGGGGCGTGCTTACTATTAAAAAGATGTGGAAAGACTTGGCCCAGAGGCTCTTCACTTGGGGGCTGGGGTTGTCGGGACACAGGTGCCTTAAAGGGCCAGGCTCAGAATTAGTTCCAAAATAGAATTTGACCAGAGACACTTAACTCAGTGTCTCTGGTCAAAACTCAAAGGCAAAAACCAGTCCTGGCTCAAAAAAAGGTAACTGAAGCAATAATCTGCATTATCCGGAGAAAAGAACCGGATTGAAATAAAGCGCTCCGAAAGTCACACAAAATAGCACAGCAAGTAAACAGTTAACAAACAAAAGAGCCGCAGGGAAAAAAGCGTAGTCAAACGAAGTCCGAGGTCGTAGCAAGCCGAATCCAATGTAGCGAAGTTCCAAAGTCCACATAGGCAGCGTCCGAAGTCAAGGAAGAGGGAAATCAGCATTCATGAGAATCCAAACCGAGTCGGAAGCACACATGAACGGAAGCAGTAACCTGTAGATCCAGGACCCAATGCCAACACGAAACAGGCAGCAACAAGAACCCAATGCACGAACATAAACCAACACTTTGCCTTCTGCAAAGATTCCCCATTTCAGAGCCTACTTTTATCTTAGAATCATAGAATCCTAGAGCTGGAAGAGACCTCCTGGGCCATCCAGTCCAATCCCATTCTGTCAAGAAGCAGGAATATTGCATTCAAATCACCCCTGACACATGGCCATCCAGCCTCTGTTTAAAAGCTTCCAAAGAAGGAGCCTGCATCCTTGCAGCAATAACAAGGCAAAGGACAACTGAAAACAAGCTGAATATCCTCTACTACAATGAATAACACCAAAGACTCCATAGAGGAATACTGATTGTATTGTATTCGGAGAGCTGAGGAGGAGAACACGTTGTGGAGAAGAGTCGGGATTGTCTGATAAGTTGAACCTTCTTAGTATGGTTTACACCAGAAATAATTATAAGGAGAAAGCATTGCCTTTGCTCCCCCTTTTAGCAGGGAGGAAACATGGGCAATCTAAGACTCAATTTTTCCCCCTGGAAAAGACTCACGAGGGGTTGCCAGTAGATGCTGATGTTGATGAGGTGGATCTAGGGAGCACGGGGGTGGGCAATGCTATAATGCCTGCTGATGATTTGAAGGACTGGCTGATTAACACCAAGGGGCTACTATTGGGGGAGAGTCATATTATGGAGCCAGGAAGTACGAGAAGCTTGGTGGAGGAGTTGGCACAAGCCAAGTTTGAAAGTCCTGATGTAACAGCAAAACAACACGGGCTGGAACCCAATGCCAGAAAAGCTCCCAACCTCACCTTTGGAGAAGGGATATTTTGACAACTTCACACCCAAGAATTTTTTACAGCAATATCCCCAGCTTGATTTACAAGGAGAAGGATTGAATGAGGGCTATTTGCACCTGGAAGCCAAATTTAATGCCTTTTCCAATGACTTACTCACAATTAAGAAGTACCTGCAAGAAAGCACGGGGCTCCTGAGCACACTTGCAAAAATACTTAAAGCTGAAGTTTTGGAAAGCTGGTGCAACTGTGATCCTGCTAAGGCAACGCCAGCTGTCATTATTCCAGCTACAACTAGGCAGGACACAGCCTCTCCCTGCCTTAAAGATAAAAGAACTAATCAGACAAAAGTAGATAAAACCAAACCCTTCCAAGCCAATTACAAAAGCCAGAAAAAAACCAAGATCATTAAAGGGAAGGTTCTTGTGGGTTTTTTCGGGCTATAGGGCCATGTTCTAGAGCAGGGGTAGGGAACCTTTGGCCCTCCAGCTGTGGTGGACTTCAACTCCCACAATTCCTTGAGGCTCGGCATTGGGCCAAGGTAAGCCTTTGGGGCCAATGCCGAGCCTCAAGGAATTGTGGGAGTTGAAGTCCACCACAGCTGGAGGGCCAAAGGTTCCCTACCCCTGTTCTAGAGGCATTTCTCCTGACGTTTCGCCTGCATCTATGGCAAGCATCCTCAGAGGTAGTGAGGTCTGTTGGAAATAGGACAATGGGTTTATATATCTGTGGAATGGCCTCTGGAACATGGCTCTATAGCCCGAAAAAACCCACAAGAACCTAGTGATTCCAGCCATGAAAGCTAGTGATTCCACAAGATCATTAAAGGGAAGTTGAAACAAAAAACTACCGGCAAACAAACAGGACATCCCAGGAATTGTAAACGTGGATTAAAAAAACTGCTAACATTAATCCCACCCTCAAGAACTCTGGGAACAAAAAAGAGGGGTAACAAAAAAGGTCCTCCAAAGAAGAGCCACAACGCTACCAATGATGGCAAAGCGGTTAAAACAAATGTAGCCAAACAAGGCCCTCAAAATATTAATGTGGCAACACAAACCCATTGGGAAACTCAGGTCACCAATATGTCAAGAGAGAAGGATGATAGGATCTCAAAAGAAATAGAGAAAGCAGATGGATTCAAATCACCAATGGCAATCCATCAAAACCGCAGACAAAAGTTTAATGACAGAGAACATAATAAAGATAATTGGAATCTGGTACTCATCCCAAACAAGGTGGTGTTTAATAAAGTTCCTAATCCAGGAAAGCTCTTAAGTCACCCTTTCCCTCGTGGGCTGAACTGCTTCATCCTTTTCCATGACAACAACAGTCAGTTGCCTGTTGCCCAGAGAGCTACAGGAGAGTACATGTGGCCCATTGAGAATCAGACCTAGAATTCTAGAGGTGGGAGAGACCCCCAAGGGCCATCCAGAATTCTAGCTGTCCAGGTGGGTAACCAACTGGGTGAAGCTCTCGCAGCCAGACATGGTTGGCCTTCAGCGCACAGGGGAAGACCTCGCAGGCCTACAAAGCTTCTAGTCCTCTCTGTCCTAGTTGAAGACAATATGAAACCCTGCCACCACAGCCTTTCAAGGGATATGGGCAAAGCTGCGGCTGGAGACAAGTGTTCTGCTGAGACCGCTCCTCCCAGCTTCCTTGGCTGGTGTGGGTTGTCCTATGTCCCCTGTGCAAAGGCTATTTTGCATTGCACCAGGGGACATAGGGTCCATGGCTTTCCAAGCTCTGTGGTCAAAGCCTGGTCTAGAAATCTAAACATTCCTCTATTGCAGTGGTTCCCAACCTTTTTATGACCAGGGACCACTTTGACTAGGGACCACTTTGACTAGCTACCATTTTGACCAGGGACCACTTTGACTAGCGACCGCTTTGACCAGCGACTGCTTTGACCAGGGACCACTTGACTAGGGACCACTTTGACCAGGGACCACTTGACCAGCGACCACTTTACCAGGCACCACTTTGACTAACAACCACTTGACCAGGAACCACTTTGACCAGGGACCACTTTGACTAGCGTCCACTTTGACCAGGGACCACTTTGACTAGCGTCCACTTTGACCAGGGACCACTTTGACTAGCGACCGCTTTGACCAGGGACCGCTTTGACTAGCAACCGCTTTGACCAGGGACCACTTGACTAGGGACCACTTTGACCAGGGACCACTTTGACTAGTGACCACTTTACCAGGCACCACTTTGACTAGCAACCACTTGACCAGGAACCACTTTGACCAGGGACCACTTTGACTAGCATCCATTTTGATCAGGGACCACTTTGACTAGTGACCACTTGACCAGGAACCACTTTGACCAGAGACCACTTTGACTAGCGACCACTGTGACCAGGGACCACTTTGACCAGAGACCACTTTGACTAGCAACCACTTTAACCAGGGACCACTTTGACCAGGGACCTCTTTGACTAGCAACCACTTTAACCAGGGACCACTTTGACTAGCTACCACTTTGACCAGGGACCTCTTTGACTAGCAACCACTTTAACCAGGGACCACTTTGACCAGGGACCACTTTGATCAGAGACTACTTTGACAAGGGAGAACCTGACCAGAGACCACTCTCCAACCTTAGTACCAAAAGGGTTATGAATCAGTTTTTGTTCAACTTTAGATTCGGTTTGGTTATTTGGGGTGCCGATTCAGAAAATTGCATGGGATAGACCACATCAGCTCTAGTTTCTGATACAGAACCTAAGCCATCCATTAGTCTCCTGCTCACCCACAGAAAACCATATTTAATAATCTAGAGCTGATGTGGTCACAGCCATCTTTCATGGGTAGTCAGCCTCTCCCCTCCAGACATCCCCATAAGAGGGTTTCACAAGACCAGTTGCTTTCGCTGCGTGGTTTCGAGACAACGGTGTAGTAATGGTGAGGCCATGGACCATATTTTCAGACCACTGGTGGCCCACACTTCACAGGTTGGGAACTGTGATGACTTAGACCAGGTCTTTTTGAACTTTTTCCACTTGCCACCCCTCTCCACCTTAGAAATTTTTACATGATACCAGGTATATATAAAATATGTAAATAATCCAACATTTGCTGATATCAAATCTGCATTTGCAAGGTTTGCTAAACAGGCTGGTTTCCCTTTTCTGGAGTACAGCGGAAGCGCGTTCTTCAGAGTCCTTTGTAACAGCTGCACAAAAGATTCCTGTAAATGGGTTGTTGTAGGTTTTTCGGGCTATATTGCCATGCTCTAGAAGCACTTTCTCCTGACGATTTGCCTGCATCTATGGCAAGCATAGTAAAGAGAGGGGCCAGGAAAGCAGTTCCATTTTGTCTCCTGCACTGTGCTTATAATGTAATGTAATATATTGTATATACATATCATATTGATAATATTATAATGTAATATTATAATGTAATAGATCCAACCAGTCCATCCTCCAGGAAATAAAGCCCGACTGCTCACTGGAGGGAAAGATACTAGAGACAAAGTTGAAGTACTTTGGCCACATCATGAGGAGACAGCAAAGCCTAGAGAAGACAATTATGCTGGGGAAAGTGGAAGGTAAAAGGAAGAGGGGCCGACCAAGGGCAAGATGGATGGATGGTATCCTTGAAGTGACTGGACTGACCTTGAAGGAGCTGGGGGTGGTGACGGCCGACAGGGAGCTCTGGCGTGGGCTGGTCCATGAGGTCACGAAGAGTCGGAGACGACTGAACGAATGAACAACAACAACACATATCATATTGATAATATTATAATGTAATACAATATAATACTAATAATAATAATATCTATCTATCTATCTATCTATCTATCTATGTATATAATAAAAGTCAGTGTATGCGGAGGGAGGGAGGGCAGTGTATGTGGCAGCTTTCTAATTGGCTGCCACTTTCACAAGCCACTGTGACCACTATGAATGGTGTACCTGGACTAAACTTGGCACACATAACCCCCATGACCAACTTTACATCCTGGTGCAGTTTGATGGAGTTGGACCACGGATTATGGAATTTGTAATACTTTCAAACACTTTGGTTCCCACGGACCACTATGGCCCCCAACAAAGATGAAGACCAAACTTGGCACACAGAGCCCCCGTGACCCACTCTACAACCTACTGCAGTTTGGAGGAGGGAGGACCATGGATGATGGGACTTGAAGTACCTCCACTCACTTCCTGAGACCGTGACCCACATTCAATGACTGATGAAGACCAAACTTGGCACACAGAGCCCCCGTGACCCACTCTACAACCTACTGCAGTTTGGAGGAGGGAGGACCATGGATGATGGGACTTGAAGTACCTCCACTCACTTCCTGAGGCCGCTGTGACCCACATTCAATGACTGATCACAACCAAACTTGGCACACAGAGCCCCCATGACCCACTCTACAGCCTACTGCAGTTTGGAGGAGGGAGGACCATGGATGATGGGACTTGAAGTACCTCCACTCACTTCCTGAGACCGCTGTGACCCACATTCAATGACTGATCACAACCAAACTTGGCACACAGAGCACCCATGACCCACTCTACATCCTGGTGCGGTTTGGAGGAGGTTGGACCGTGGACGATGGGACTTGCAATCCCTTCACTAACTTCCTGAGAGCACTGTGAGCCACATAAATAACTGATAAAAACCCAACCTTGGCACTAAATGCCTTTCTCAGAAAAACCCGGGCACTGCTGGGTTCCCAAGCTAGTATTATATATTTTATATTAAATGTAATATTACTAATAATATTACAGTATAAAGTTATAGTACAATGTAATATATAATATTAATATTGTGCTATGGTAATAATATACTATATTGTATATACTTTTTACTTGTAAGCTGCTCCGAGTCCCCTTCGGGGTGTAAGGGCGGCATATAAATGTCGTAAATAAATAAATAAATAAAAAGCATCCTCTGAGGATGCTTGCCATAGATGCAGGCAAAACGTCAGAAGAGAATGCTTCTAGAACATGGCCACACAGCCTGAAAAACCTACAACAACCCAGTGTGCCTCCTTAGTGACGAGGGGATGCCCACCATTACTAACCTACACTGCAGTCTAAAAGATGAGGGGGGGGGCTCTATATCATTGTGGAAAAAGACAAGAGAATTTCCCGCATCACAGCTTTATTTCACTTTAAAAATGCAAAAGAGAAAGGCTTCTGGCCTCGCCGTTTGCCGGGAGCCCGAGTCCAGGTTGCTCCTGCCTGGAAACCTGAGGGAGATGAGCGCAGGGCCCACCGAAAGCAGGCAGGGCAACCCTGGTGGTTGGCACAAGCTGGCTGGGCGGGCACCCGTGCTGTCCTCTCCTGCTCCCGCAGCCCTCAGTACTCTTCGGCCATCATGAGCACCACCAAGGCTGACCAGCCGGTGAAGGGGTAGCATCCCTGGCCCCGGCCAGTGCTGTCGCTGTACTGCTCCCAGATGTACCCGCTCTCCTGATACTGCCGGAAGACGTTGCCGATGAGGTTGGCACGCAGCTGGCGGTAGAGGGCGGACGCCTGCTCCCGGTACGGCCCCTCCAGCTGGCCGTAGTGGTGCAGCGCCCGCACCGCCAGGTAATTGATGTTGAGCCAGATGGGGCCCCTCCAGTAGGGCGGGTCGTGCTCCGTGTTGTGCTTGAGGTAGAAGGGGCTGCCGCGCGAGAGGGAGCGCAGGCCAAAGGGCGTCCACAGCTTCTTCTCGCTGCGCATGTCCGCCAGCAGGTTGCCCAGGCGGGGCGAATCGGGGCGCAGCAGCTCCAGCAGAAGCGGGAACAGGCTGACGTACCCGAGGGCGCCTCCCACGAACTGCAACGCGGGCGGCTTGCGGACGACGCGCAGCAGCCGCGGAGAGGGCAGGGGCTGGCCGGGTGGAGGGGGGCGGAGCCTCTCGCGCTCCAGAGCCACAGCGGAGGTGTGGTTGCCGTAGTCCGCAAAGGTGCCCAGAGTCTCGGCCCAGTGGTGCTGATCCAGCAGCTGGTTGTCGGCGAGCATCTCGGCCATGCGCCGGTACTCCCCCGCTGGCTCCCCGATCCTGGTCGCCACATCCGCCATGACGGCTGAGACCACAGCCATCCAGCAGCGCAGGTCCAGGTGGCGCTCGTCCGGCGAGGGGTGGGAGGCCCGAGGGTAGTCGTCCAGGCCGGAGGTCAGGGTCTTCGGGTTGAGGAAGAGGCGGGTGTCTTGGTCACGGCCACGCCAGCGGAAGGTGTGGGGCAGTGGCCCAGCCTGTGTCTGGTTGTACCAATCGTACCAGCTCTGGAGGCGCGGGAAGATTCTCCGCAGGAAGTCTTCGTCTGCCTGGCCCTGGGCAAGCAGTTGCCGCAAGGCCAGGAAGAGTGTGGGGGGGTTTCCGGCGCTGCTGTGCTGCACCAGGAATTCGGGGGGCACCTTAGTGCGGGCCTCATCGCCCAGGATCTGCTCTCGTGGGATCCATCCCTCGGCGTTCATGAGGTCAAGCCAGTGGGCCAGCACTTCCCGGCTGAGAGCCGGGTCCCAGCGGGCGACGAGCAGCTGGTGGAAGCCTTCGTCCCAGAGGAAGCCGCGGGGGAAGAAGGAGCGGGAGGGCACGGCCGTGAAGAGGGGGCCCTCCGGGTACAGCTGGGGCTGCTCCGCGTGCGGGGACTGCACCAGGGAGCGCCCAAAGAAGTAGCCCATCCCTCCCAGCATGTTGCTGAGGGCGGCCATGGCGAAGCGCTGCTCCTGCGGGGAATAGCCCTTGGCGGCCAGACCAAAGGTCTCCTCGAAGCGCCGCTCAAAGGCAGACGCGTGCCATTCCAGCACCCCGGTCAGCGCTTCTCCCGCAAGACGTTCGGTCCGGTCGGAGACGCTCCCGGACTCAAAGACCACTTCCAGGCGGCACGGAAGGGAGACGGTCACTTGGTGGATGAGGAGCTGGCTGCGCGGCTCCCCTCCTCCCGGCGCAATCCGATAGGTGTCCACCCCGAAGTATCGCCGCTTGGGTGCTCCTGGGGGCGTGAAGGAGAAGCGGGGGGCCAGGCTGGACTTCACCACGTCACTCAGGCGGTGCAGCCCTTCAGCCTTCGCATCCAGGTAATTGTAACTATGGGAGAGAAGAGGAGGAGAGAATGAGAAGCAGTCCGTGTGGGGGGATCAACATCCTCCCTCCTCTCTCCAGATTGCTCTCCCTCTGACTTATTAATTATTTATTTATTTACAACATTTATATGCCCTTCTCACCCCAAGGGGGACTCAGAGCGGCTTACAATATATATACACATACAATATATTATTAGCATAATACAATATGAGCATTAAATGTTACTATATTGTAATAATAATAAAAATAATAATAATAATAAACGTTATTTCTTTATTTACTTTATTTTATCTCCCCGATGGGGACTCGGAGTGGCTTACAAGATATATACACGTACAATACATTATTAGCATAGTACAATATGAGCATTAAATGTTACTATATTGTAATAATAATAATAACTTTATTTCTACCCCGCCACCATCTACCCGATGGGGACTCGGAGTGGCTTACAAGATATATACATGTACAATATATTATTAGCACAGTACAATATGAGCATTAAATGTTACTACATTGTAATAATAATAATAATAATAATAATAATAATAATCTTTATTTCTACCCCGCCACCATCTCCCCGATGGGGACTCGGAGTGGCTTACAAGATATATACACGTAAAATATATTATTAGCATAGTACAATATGAGCATTAAATGTTACTACATTGTAATAATAATAATAAACTTTATTTCTACCCCGCCACCATCTCCCTGACGGGGACTCGGAGCAGCTTACAATATATATACACATACAATATATTATTAGCATAGTACAATATGAGCATTAAATATTACAATATTGTAATAATAATAATAATAATAATAATAATAATAATAATCTTTATTTCTACCCCGCCACCATCTCCCCGATGGGGACTCGGAGTGGCTTACAAGATATATACACATACAATACATTATTAGCATAGTACAATATGAGCATTAAATATTACAATATTGTAATAATAATAATAATAATAATAATAATAATAATAATCTTTATTTCTACCCCGCCACCATCTCCCCGATGGGGACTCGGAACAGCTTACAATATATATACACATACAATATATTATTAGCATAGTACAATATGAGCATTAAATATTACAATATTGTAAAAATAATAATAATAATAATAATAATAATAATCTTTATTTCTACCCCGCCACCATCTCCCCGATGGGGACTCGGAGTGGCTTACAAGATATATACACATACAATACATTATTAGCATAGTACAATATGAGCATTAAATGTTACTATATTGTAATAATAATAATAATAATCTTTATTTCTACCCCGCCACCATCTCCCCGATGGGGACTCGGAGTGGCTTACATGGGGCCAAGCCCAGACAACATAATACAGCAATAAAATCAAAACATATACAACAGACAACAACAACATTATCAAAATGACGTTAAAATAATAATAATAATAATAATAATATGAACTAAAATGAAATAAAAATTCCAATAGACACGATAGAGATTATGATGATGATAATAATATATACAACAGACAACATCATTATCAAAATGACATTAAAAATAAAATAATAATAGTAATAATAATAGTAGTAGTAGTAGTAGTAGAATAAAATAAAATAAACATTGCAATAGACACAATCACGATAGAGATGATAGAGCGGACCACATATTGTACTATACCATTATATTGTAATATTATTAGTAATATTACATGCAACACAAATATACAATTATAACATCATAATATATATAGTGTATATGTTACACTATAACTTTATAAATATTGGGGTGTTGTAGGTTTTTTTCGGGCCATATGGCCATGTTCTAGAGGCATTCTCTCCTGACGTTTCGCCTGCATCTATGGCAAGCATCCTCAGAGGTAGTGAGGTCTGTTGGAACTAGGAAAATGGGTTTATATATCTGTGGAATGACCAGGGTTGGACAAAGGACTCTTGTCTGCTGGAGCTAGGTGTGAATGTTTCAACTGACCACCTTTCCTGGTTCCAACAGACCTCACTACCTCTGAGGATGCTTGCCATAGATGCAGGCGAAACGTCAGGAGAGAATGCATCTAGAACATGGCCATATAGCCTGAAAAAACCTACAACAACCCAATGATTCCGGCCATGAAAACCTTTGACAATACATTATAAATATTATATGTATATACAATATATTATATTACATTATATTATATTATACATTATAAATATTATATGTATATACAATATATTATATTACATTATATTATATTATTTTAATATATAATACTAATATTGTGCTATGCTAATAATGCAATGTAATTGTATGTACATATAACTTTTAAGCTGTTCTGAGTCCCCTTTGGGGTGAGAAGATAGACATGTCGTAATTAATAAATTCTGCCCAGAGACAGCATATTGGCTGCACAGGCAGGGTACCTGGCGTAGAGAGGCGTGCCCGTCTCGGAGGTGGGCGGCTGGAAGGTAATGGTGAAGTGGCCCAGCTCCTCCGTCACGCCAGTCAGGGAGGCCATCCGGCTCTTCTCCTTCACCTGCGGCTGCAGCGCCCCTTGACCGTCGGTTGCCACGTAGAACAGCAGGGAGACAAAGGGCGTCTGGGGCCCCGACCTCTGCACAAAAAGAGACACAGCCAGGGTTTGTTCCACAGGCCAGGACACAAATGAACCTTTCACACACCACAGTGGTTCCAGCCAAGGGAATCCTAGCATCCGAACCTCAAGAAACTAAAAACCCCGAATCCCATAGGATGTCGCCACACACCACAAAATTGTTTAGTGTAGAAAGGATTGAAACTCTTCGCCTTGTGTGCCTGCCTGCACATCCCCCTATCCTATCCCTCTGGTTCTCATCTATGAATGAGATCCTAAGACTGAAAATGGGAAAGGCTCACTTTGGGGGAGATGGAGAGTGGGCATCCCATCTGGACACTCTTCCTATTGCCACGCAGCATTTGAATTCCCCCCACGAGGAAGAAGAAACATCATCATCATCATCATTGACACAAAAGCACAGTATGTCACAGCAAACGAGATCTCTCTGCTGGATTTCGTATCACAAAATCACAAGTCGAACCCTTCCCAAGCATCTAGGACTGTGTGATGTATTTATTGTTATTATTATTATTATTATTATTATTATTATTGACACAAAAGCACAATATGTCACAGCAAACGAGATCTCTCTGCTGGATTTCGTATTGC